ATAAAATTTGTTTCGTATTTAAAAAATATGCAGTTTATTCAACATTTATTAATTCTACTTATTGCAAATTAAAAATTTGGACAATCTATTAATATCTTTTCTCAATCTATTGTCTATTGTTTGTTCTCTCTTCTAAAGTCAGCGAAATTTTATTGGTGTACATGATAGGTGTCTCCTTATTTCCATATATTCATCGGCATGGACACTCTAATCGCGGATGTTTCTGGGATAGAATTTTATATAGAAACACAGTTAGAGAAGCAAATAGGTCTGGTTGCTTTGCCATTTCAAAACATGAACAGTAACATTGTTGTTTTCATAATTATCATATATTAGAATCTGGCGCTGGTGTCTGCAATTATTTTTTAAGCCAAACATGTACATTAAAAAACCTATGCCCCCTTAGGCACATTAAAGGTGATAGAACTGTAGTGTGCAAGCATTGGCTGCGCGGTTTGTGCAAAAAAGGCGATGATTGTGAATTCCTGCATGAGTACGATATGTCAAAGATGCCCGAATGTTATTTTTTCTCAAAGTTTGGTGAGTGTATGAACAAAGAATGCCCTTTTTTGCATATCGATCCGGCTTCAAAGATTCAAGATTGTGCTTGGTATGATAGAGGTTTCTGTAGAAATGGTATAGCTTTCTTTATCTATTTGTACTTAGGTCCTAATTGCAGAAACCGGCATGTTAGACGTGTTGCTTGCAAGAATTATATCAATGGGTTTTGCCCTTCAGGGAAAGAATGTAAATTTGCCCAGTATGTTCTCTATTGATTAATTAAAAATAAGCCCTAAATGGTTACCCTTGCCTGGTACTGGTGATACTGAAGGCTCGAAAAATCGATGGACCTGTCATTATTGTAGTAAGTGCTTATTCTATTGTCGCGATATAATACACATATATCTTGTCCTTTATTCTAAATCAAATGATGTGAGTGCACCCTAACTTTGTTAAACAAACTTGTTGCAACTTTATAGTGCTTTTATAATCGGCATTGGATTTTATTTATAATTCATAAAGGAAAAAGCCAAAAATTTTTGCCACAATTTTATTTTATCTAGCTTTATTTATATTGAATTGCCTTGGGAATTACTAGCAGTCTGAGTCAACAATAGAAACAAGATAAATGCTATTTGTTTGAGTAAATTATTTTTTAGCAACTGATTGGAATCCACACGAAAGAAGAGTTCTCGTAATTTACCCTAAGGGTGTATTTGCCATCATAATAAGTGAATTTATAGTCAGGAATAAAAATTAGTCCATCATCGATAGTTTGGACTTCTAAATTAAGTTTTCCATAGGATAACTTAAATGCTATGTTGACTCGGTGAATGAGGCTATTTTTAGCTATTATTTGTTTGCTTATTGAGCTACTTTATTCGAATTATATTGCGTTTATACTTTTATATTCGTGTTTACGATACTTTTTCACTTGAATTAAACTGATAAAAGTTTACTGAAATATTTGGCAGATTTTACACCTCCGAATATGTGAACTTGCTGGCAAATATATATTCCCACTACGGGAATTAAGAAGAGCTATCGTTATTTATCGAAAGTGTGCTCAAAGGAGCACACCACACTATATCTAAATAAACACGGTAAAATTGTAATAGTGAAGACATGATAGGATGCTATCGGAAACGTGAAAAACCCAGGGCAGAAGGGGAGATGCCACAATTGTTTAGCACATGTTTAGTCAAAGGATCGGCTTCACTTATCTATTTGACGAGTTGCATGGTGCTAAGAATGCCGACTACGGTGCCGGCAAAACGTTTGGGAAGGTACCACGTCCACGGTTAAACTTTGGAAATGATCATGTAGACAATGGACTCCGGAATAGGTGCGTTCCTCTAAGTCTTCCTACCAATA